GGTGAAAAATGTGAAATTGCATATTTTGTAGATATGAATTGAGAGGTAATTTCAAAAATGATTCTCTAAAGCTGCACAAATATTGATGCTTAAAGATCACCAGTATTTGATATAATAATTTCATTAATCTTTTCTTATATGAGATATAATTTAGTTTTGCTCCTGAAGACCTGAAGTAGCAATTCTCTAAACTTCTTTTCAAATTTATTGTTTAATGTGCTCTTAATAACCTTTCATTGCGTTGATTATGTACGATGGAAATCTTTATTAGTTCGTAAAAATTTCAATTTCTTTTAATCCTTATGAAAATTACTTCATCTACTATGAGTTAATGAAAGCATTAAGAAAAGTGCATTGAAGATTACAGTACGTTCCACATATCCCTATTTATAATTTGGTCATTTTGGAACATAAAATGATTACATATATATTTGTTTAAATGAGAAACTTTATTGTTGAATATTCATCGATAAGTTAATGTGACTCATATAACTTAAATGTCTTATAAAGCACTCAAGCAAGTGATATACTTTAAGAAAATGCATGATTAGAAAACATGATATAGACTTCAACTATATTCGAAATATAGTTAAATATTACTATCGATATGCAAAATAATCACAAATTAATGCAATTATGTATAATGATTAGCTCTAGTTAATCTACGTGAGAGAGGGAAATAACAAATAAAATTTCAGAAAGGAAAATATGAAATTATAATAAAGTGCTAGAAGTCGCTATAAGAGTATAAATTTGATATACAATTGGCTGTGTTGTGAACATGAAGTTCCCACATCGCTTACACACGAGATGATGTGTGTTTACAAGCATGGCCCGAAGCCCTTACTTATGGGCGTGTTTTAAAGCCGTGAGGTCCTGAAGTACCAAAGTAGAGAATATGTTATTATATGTCAAGGTAAATTTTAAGAAATTCATTAAAGTGAATACTTTGAGACAAGTAGTATAGTATTCCTTAACAAATTTGATTATCTGATAATTTTTATGTTACTCCAAAGGTAACATTATCGAATCTTTAGACATTTCTAGGTGAGTGATTCGTATTGTTTCTATGAAAGTAAGAAAGAAATCACTATATAAATGATTATTCTAGATACATTATTTTTGTTTAGGGATGATATAATGCTTGAAGCATGTATACACTTGTGGCATAGAGTCCGAAATATATTAACTTTTGATAGAGTCATACACATTAGGGATATAAAGTAATGGAAGCACAAATTATATTTATAAACAAGTTGTGCACACAAATAATAATGATAAAATCTCAGGCATTGAGTGTAAGCTCAAAGAAGCTACTTAAACACTGAGAAGTAATAATTTGAAAAGTGATATCATACTTATTGGGTGATAGTTTGAGACCATACCAACGCAGTGTAAATTGTGTTTCCATAATATCTGCCTGTAGCAGAATTCTCCTCACACCATACTATATATACTTGAAAATTTAAACATGTGTTGCATGAAGTTTAAATTTTTGAATAAATGACCAATTTAAGGTCAACCCAGGTTTAAATCAAATGCCGTATAAGACATCCAATATATAAATACTTCTTAGATAAGAAAATGACAAGACCGTCTATTCTCCCAAATATTTTGAAAGTGGATCCATGGGTGTTAAGTGAACTTGAAGTTTCACAATGTGGGTTAATATCAAGTTTGCTCTCAAGATATGCTCTCCTAAAATGTCTACATATAATGAGTGGTATAAGACTATTTTGCCGGCTTCTATGAAATATAGTGAAAAGCATAAGGTAACCCACAAAATTTATCTAGCATTATAAGATGAATGTTACGCCTGAGATAAACTGCTAGAATATAATGTTGCTTGAATATATGAAGAAAGTCTAGTTTATATTAATTTGGCATTTGTTAACTAACCCCCAAAGTTTACACGTTAAAATGAGTCAAAGTGTGCCAACATTGAAACCCCACTACAGAAATGATGTACTCGGACCCCAGAAGTGGCTCCATATGTACGTAAATCCTTGTTCAAAATTATTATGGCACATTTCCCGACATTAGGGGGAGATATAAAGGCATAAGCATAATTATATTTTAGAATGTCGGGAAAATATCCCAGAAGGATCGATTGATATTAAAAGAGAAACGTGTAAAATATGATAAATAAACTGCTAAAGTGACTCAAAGAGATGATTATAAAGATTGAGCTCAACCAATGCATGAAGCATGGTTAGAAGGTCATTAAGTGTATACAAATAAAATTGGTTTTATTTTAGGAAGTCACTTATGCCTCTACAAGAGGATGATATAAGTTTAATGCTGCAGCTGATAAGTTATAGAAACTTTATGATACAAAACATGAGTTCCTCTTTTATGACTCATATAGAGGACTTTTGATGAAACAGGAATGATATTGATTAGATTGACGTCAATGATTTATTTTCCCATAACTATCGACTCCTGATCCATAATAATAAAGTCTGGCCAGACGAAATATGATGGACTTGTAGTCCTAAAATTTTGTGAATTATGATCGAAGTTTATGGATGAGAAAATATTTTATATTGGGCCTGAATTCCCATAAATCAAGATATTATGTACGTGGGGTGACAATACTTGAGATTGAATGATTTTGAGACTGCACTCGTGTTATGGTTTAAAGTTCTGTAAATGTGGCAGTTGATGCGAAAATTGGATGTCATTGTTATAGTATCAATTGTGTGTCCCTGAAGGACAATGGTGAAAACAAAAATATGTGCACACAACATGCAACATGAATATGAATTCTTTTATGTCTAGATAAGGACATTATGTGTTAAATTATAGTAATTATATTTGGAATTATTCTTGAAAAAGAATTTGAATTTCATTGAATAACTGCAACGATAAATAATGCAGTAAATACTAAGCATAGCTGAAAAACATATAAAATGGACGCTTGTGCCTAACTAAAACCTGGGTGACTACAATAAGTCTTGATGAAATTATTTATTTTGTAGAAGAACTATGCTTGAATATCATGGTGCAAATTATATTATGTAATTGAACAAGGTTTTTGCATCATGTCAAAATATCACTTGTAGTGAGTGCCTCCTGAAGAGGATCTAATGTGAACAATTTTCTTATGTGTTTTTACATGATATCATGACTAGAATTTAAACTAATTTAAAGTGAACTATATTCATACTACTTCTCAACCTTTCCTGCAGAAAGAGTTGAATGAGGAAATCATTATGCAATGAATTTGCAATTACTCATAAATCTTATATTTGTTTACCTGAAGTAAACATATATTATTCTATGAACCAAATTGTATAAATAAAGGTGTTGGATGCTTTTAAGCATCTAGACAAACCTAGAAACAACACATGAATTAAAATCTTTTGATTTGAATGGTGTTTGATTACATAATAAATAAAATATCTAGTCATTATATTGTAAACACCTGAAGTGTTTGTATACTAATTTGAGATCCTAGGAAGATCAAAACATGTCACATTTAAGTTTTATGGACCAATATTTGAGAATACTCAATTATTGAATATTTGACATGCATAATAACAATAAACTTGATGGTCTTGAAATACACATTGCAGAATCATGAATTTAGACAATTGCTTCCACTTATCGTATACTTTCACCTAAACATATTGAGTTGTTGTTGAAGTGGAACAATTAATTGGTCCAGAAGACCATGTGCTATTCTTTTTCCTTAGCCAAGTTTTTGTCTCAAAGGGTTTTTCTTGGCCAAAGGTTTTAAGATATTTTGTGATTTTTAAAGAATCAGAAAGATTCATAACATCCAGAAGACTATTATCCTCTAAAAGAGTGATTCTAATATTAGTTTGAAAGATAGTACCCTGAAGGTCTTAATTGATCCTTGTGAGATCGAACAATTTATTGGTCCGGAAGATCATTTGCAACTGTACTCTTTTTCCTTAACCAAGTTTTGTCCCATAGGGTTTTCTTGGTCAAAGGTTTTAACGAGGCAGTTTGCGACTTTGAAATAACATATTATGATACATAAAATTCGGAGTATTATTTTTCTTCTATAAGAGTAAATTCAAATGCAATCCAGAAGATTATGCCCCGAATGCCAGTGACTATACTCTTTTCCTTTACTAAGTTTTTCCCACATGGTTTTCTTAGCTAAAGGTTTTTAATGAGACAGTCAATCCAACACATCGGTTTACATATATTATGTACTCTTATCCTTGATTGGTTTTTTCCCAAAGGGTTTTTCCAACAAGGTTTTTAATGAGGCATACACATAGTTCAATTTTTGCTACAAGGAGTTGATCATCAGATTATATTGGATTCTACAAGAAGTTTTGAAGTGATGCAGTCAACAGGGGAGTATATACGCGGCTTACGCGCTGCACTCTTTTTCCCTTGACCAAGGTTTTGTCCCACTGGGTTTTCCTCGACAAGGTTTTTAACGAGGCAGTATTACCATAGCGTATAGAGATAATAATGTAAATTTTTCTTGTAATGTATTTTATTTAGCAATGTACATCCAAGGGGGAGTGTTATGTAATATGTGGATGTCCATTAACCCCAAGCTCATATGTTCTGGCCCATATCAAGTGTAACCCTAGCTCCCATATATACACATCAAGTGTATATATAGATGACTATATGTGAATGAATTATATGCTTTTGATCTTGTTTATTACAGAGCTAACTATGTTTCACACTACTTTCACGTATGAGTAACATAAGCGCAAGTATCATTAATTTAAATTAAATGGAAGTATATATTATGTAATACTCCGTGTATACTTACTTGTATATAGGTTTCTTTACGGAAGTTTTTTATTTCAATTGGTTAAATTAATGACAAAATTCATAAATAAAAGTATCATTGTTTTATTCTCAAATTAGGATTTATTCACTCATATTTTTGGTAGTTTTAATAAACTTATTCTTTAAGTAGGACTAAATAAGTCTTATTTGGAGATAAAACATATTTAGTTCTAATTTTACAATGTGTAATTTCAGTTTCATAGTGAGCAATTTCTAAATCAATTTCTCATAAAGCGGATTCCTAACGAGACATAGAAAGAGTCGTAAAGATGTCGATTCCTTGGGAGAAGAGCGAAACATGGAAGTGGTTAATTAGTTAGGACTCAAAACTTCCTCTTGCCCGTTCCTATTATTGTATGCCCCTCCAAGAATTCCGAGCTGGTTCCGCCACCGTAGACAGGGGTATTACTGGAGAATCGGGCAGAGATATTAATATATGGAAGGACCCTTGGCTTCCAGATAGAAATAGCCCAAGAGTGACTTCTGCTCCTATCACGGGTTTGGAGCAGGCTTCTGTGGACAGTCTAAGGAGAGAAGACGGGCTCGACTGGGATTTGGATTTTCTTGGGGATCTTTTTAATCAACGAGATATCCGGTTGATTCAAGGGATTCCGATGAGTTACAGGCAAATTCCGGATAAAGTGTGCTGGCGCTGGGAGGATTCTGGTCGGTTCACAGTTCGAAGTTGCTACAGGAATTTGGCTGGAGATATGGTGAATGGCGGCTGGACAGGTTGGGCCGCCATGTGGGCATGGATGTTGCCTCCAAAAAAAAATCTGGCAGATGTGTTGCGGTTTACTCCCGACGACGTCAAATCTTAAATGGATCGGAGAAGGGTGAATTGCGTTGAGTTTTGTGGTTTATGTGGAAATGCGGATGAATCTTTGAACCATCTGTTTATCTCTTGTCCTGTTGCAAGAGAGGCATGGCAGGCTATTGGGTGGAGCTGGGCGCCAGGTTCTGATTCTGATTTTTTGAAAAGGATTGAGGCTGAGTTTCTACTCAAGAAGAAAGAGGAGCTGCATAAGATGGTTTGGGGCTGCTGGGGATTATGGTGTGAACGGAACTGCAGGATTTGGAATGAAAAAAAAAACTGATGCAAAGGTGATATTGGTTCGGCCCCGAATTTTTGTGGACAACTTGTTGTTGGCGCAGCAAAATACCAGGAAGCATCATGGCCAGACCGAGGTCGGTCCTTCGGTATGGAGGAAGCCGAAGCGGGTGTTGCTAAACCGTGGAACGGTAAGTTGATGTCATGGGAAGCAGAGCTGGTCGCGATTCGGGAAGCTCTCAGTTGGGTCAAAGATAACGGCTGGGATTTTGTTGACATTGAATCGGATGCCTCCAAAGCAATTACTGAAATTCTCCAAGGCAAAAGCGAGTCACTTGCTGGTGTTTTAGCCGAGGAAATAAGAGATTTGAGGCTATGTTTTACGGAGACGTCTCTCTCTCATGTAAGACAATCAGCGAACAAGACGGCTCACGGGGTTGGCCGAAACGGCTTGTTCTGTGCCTGATTGTGTCTTATGGAGTAGTTCTGACCCACCCCCGAGTTTATTTTACATGTACTGAACAATGATTCCATTAATGATAATTAATCCCCTTTCTCTCAAAAAAAAGTACAAGAAGATGTTGATGGTCTATTTATAAGCGTTTACAACACATCCACTAATCAAATGCTACTTAGGCTGGCCCAATTTATGAACTAAATCATATGGCAGATGTGAGTTTTTTCTCACTTAAAAAAATTGTAGCAGTATAAGGCTAAAGTAGGAGTATCATCTCCACATGGACGGAAAAAGAGAATTAACAGCTAATTCATCTCAACGATTTAAATTTAAAAAAATGAATGTGTGAGATTGGTTTGGGAAAATAAATACAATTAAAAGAACGTAAATTAAAAGACTCTTTCGAATTAATGACAGAATTAAAGGGAATTAACAGCAAATTCATCTCAGGGATTTCATTCACATTATTCTCAACAACAACGTTTTCAGAATATTATTTTTGGCACTAATGATAATATTATTTTTGAGACTAAGTCGGTTTTGAAAACAAAGTTTGAAATTAAGGATATGGGGTGGCTGAAGTAATTCTTGGGCTAAAGTTGACTAGATCAACTGAACGAATTATATTAAAAAAATGAGAAATTTGTATTTAAAAATAGTATAATTGCTAAAACACCATATGATCCTTCAGTAGCTTTGTATAAAAATAAAAGTGGTGTTCCTGTGTCTCAATTAAGATATTCTCAGATGATTGGTAGCTTGGGTTACTTAGCTAACTGTATTAGACCCGATATTGCATTTTCAGTGTCTAAGTTGAGCCGGTACGCTTGTTGTCCAAACAGAACTCATTGGGAGGCCTTAGATAGAGGTTTTTAGATGCTTAAAAGGAACCATTTCCATGTGTTTGCATTACGGTAAATATCCTCCTGTTTTTTAGGGATATATTGATGGAAGTTAGATAGCTATGAATTCTGGGAGTTATAGATGTACCGGCTATGTGTTTACATTTGGTGGTGGGGCTGATGCCTGGAAGTCCACTAAACAAACAATACTTTCTCGATCTACTTTTTAGGCTGAATTATGTGCATTGGATACTACAGGAATTACGGTTGAATGGTTTATGGGACTATTGTCTGAGTTACCTATATTCAGCAAGCCAATTCCACCTATTTGTTAGCATTGTGATAGTATGAGTACAATTGCAGTAACGCAGCCACTGCCTTTGGCAGTAATGCTGTCGCCTGATGGCGGAGGAGGAGTTTGGGGCCGGAAATCTTTTGCAGACATAATGGCAGATAGGTCAAAGCTGATTGATATGCACTAGTTTATAGTGCATAAATGTATGTTTTTATGTTGATTGAGTGTGGATTTTCCATCGCTTTTAGTTAGTTTGTAAGTACTTGTTTTATTTTGTTTGTAATTGCTTTCTCCTTCTTTTCGTAGTTATAGAATAGTGATAGAATTTGTAGCAAGGAAAAGGGGAGAAAAGGCAGAAGACAAAAATACCCAGGAGCACAAAAACCCGACCAGGTCAGACCTTGAACTCGGTCGGGTCAGTTGAAGACCGGATCTAAGAAGAAAAAGTAAGACCCGGTCGGGTCCCTTACTCGACCCGGTCGGGTCAGATATGACCCGGAACACCGGAACATGCTGAAGATCACAAAGATTTGGAAAAATCTGATTTAGACCAAACCCGGTCGGGTCCCTTACTTGACCCGGTCGGGTCTGACTTGACCCGAGACAATTTAATGTGCTGGAACACAAAAACGTGGAAGATTATCTGATTTTGACCGGTACCCGGTCGGGTATGTACCTATACCCGGTCGGGTACCCGGCCAAAGGTGTTGAAAAACACCTATAAATAGCACACTTTTTCTTCACAAAAAATCATCCCTTCTTCCATACTCTTTAGCTCAATTTAGAATAGCATTTCTTTATATTTTTCTAGCTATGTTTAGTCTCCAAATGAGGAGCTAAACTTCCATTCTTGGTGTTGCTCTTGAAGCTTGTTGATTATTAAAGTTGTGAGTTATTTTCTTAACTTCTTTCCTTGAATATTAATTGATAGTTCTTTCCTTAATACCATCTCTATATTGATGTTGAGGAGTGTTGCTAAGATGACAATTAGTTAACATCTCGACATTAGTTAGAATGATATTTTCTTCCTCTATATTAATATTGGGGAGTGTTGCTAAGATGACAATTAGTTAACATCTTGATATTAATTATAGTAGGATTCATCTTCTTTAATAATATTCTTCCTTGAATATTAATTAATCCCTACTCATATTTCATATTAATATTTTGAACATTACTTAAAGGATCAACTAGTTTTGTTTCATATATTAGTTATTACTAGAAACGATCAACGAACCGATGGTTAATCGTTGATGGTTTCACAAGTAAGTAACTTTGGTTTATTAATGCACGGTCGTGGTTAATAAACTTAAGAGGGATTAATTTTGTTGGTTAAACCGAAACCGCTTGTGTTGAGGTTATCAATCTCAATTGATTTCATCAAGGAGTTAGAAAGATTAAATGCTACTATTAAATCGGTATAAGGCGTTGTTCTATATTTGATTAATAGTAAGGGTTATTAATGAACGGTCGTTGTTAATAACTACCCTCGATGAAGTGGATATACTCCCCGATTGAGTATTCGAGAGGGAATAAGTTATAGATATAACAATGATCGACTAAAATATATCAACAAGTGGAAAGTAGCAATGCCAAGTCCTTTTTATCTTTGAATTAAATCTCATATAGGTCGTTCATCTTAGTTTTTAATTAAATTAAATCACTCAATCCAAACCCCCCCTTTTATTTACTAAGTTTCATAAAAAGAGAATTATTCATTTCCCTGTGGATACGAACTCTACTACGCTATACTACGTATTAGTGATAGTATTGAATTTATTTTGACGCACCGTGACAAAGTGCTCGTCACTGATTCCTGAGAAATCACATTTCAAGGTAATGCCTTCGATCAACTTTTCTGAAGGGGATGTCCAGAAATTGGCAGACAAGCACAAGAGGGCGCTTGTGGGATATTTCTTCAAAGGTAAACCCAGTCTTTCGATCATCTGCAAGTCCTTTGAAATTATTGGTTTCAAAGGGAATTTTCACTTGGGGACTTTGGATCCGAAACATATTCTTATTCGCTTTGATTTGGAAGAAGATTGTTTAAGGTGTTGGAATAGGCAATCTTGAGTTGTCCAAGGATTTTTTATGAGGGTTAGTAAATGGACACCGGAGTTCAGACCAAATGTTGAATCTCCAGTGGTTCCGGTTTGGATATCCCTAGAAGGACTCCCAATCCATTTATAGGATAAATCTGCTCTTTTCGAGATAGCTAGTTTGATTGGAAACCCATTAAAAATTGACACAGCCACGGTCAATCTCTCAAGACCAACAGTGGCTAGGGTGTGTGTGGAATTGGATCTTACCAAAGAAATGCCCTCAAAAATTTGGATCAATTGTGGGAAAAATGGTTTTTCACAGTCTATTTTTATGAAAATAGACCAGAATATTGTACTGCCTGTCTGCGTCTTGGACACTTCCATGGTAAATGTCCTAAAAACAGTCTACTCAATGCATAGATACTCATAAGAAAAAATGGATTCAGAAGAAAGACAAGGCACACATTGCAAAATTTACAAGAGAAGAAAAAGGAAAAGACAAGATTACATTTGATGAACTAGCCTACAAACAATCAACTTCTAAACCACCTATAGAGGAGATTGTTTCAGATGAAGAAACATATGTGGAAGAAGTATTTTTAGATTCCATGACTCAACCTGCAGTGGAAGAGAGAAACAAGATCAAGAGATTATTAGAGACTTATTTCCCAGGGATTTTGAGGGAAATTCCTAAGGATAAAAAAGGCATTCAAGATGACACTCACTTACACAAGGTTACCAGTTTTCATGCCGGTAAATCTTCAAGGAAGATCAGGGAATGCTATTCGTAAGGGGAAGTAGATCAGCCAGCTAATACTGCCTCCCTCCTTGACTAGTGGCCTCAAATATGTGCAGGTGTGGAGTATGTTGTCAAAGTCAAGGCTCAGTCTGCAACTCAGGAACAAAATGGCAATCAGGTAGCTCAAGAAGCCGGGGAGCAGACTGACATACCAATCATTAATCAACGAGACCCAAGGAAAATATTAAATCATGAAGAGGATGCAGATGCAGATACTGATAGTAGTACAGAGGAAGCATTTACTAAAGTTACAAGAAAAAGGCAGAATAAGAAGCATATACCAGATAATCAGAACAAGAGAAACACTAGGAGTGTGGCCAGGGGTGACACAAACACAACTGTTTCTCAATGAATAGCTTATATTGGAATACTAGGGATCTATAATCCTCCAGTACGTTCTAGACTTTATTCCCTAGTTAAGCAGTGGATGATCCAATTACTTGTTATTATTGAGCCAATAGTTTCTAGCAACAAAGGTGATATGTTCAAGCAGGCTCTTGGGTTTGATAAAGCTGTTTGTTCTGACATCACTAAAATATGGTTATTTTATGACTCCTCACTCATCGATGTTTCTCATATTCTTTGGCATGGTCAGTTTTTGCATTTTAAAGTATCTGGCTCTGTTTTTAATGGATGGGTCACAGGTGTGTATGGGAGACATACCTACATAAATAGAAGACAGATGTTGGAGAGTCTTCAATCTATTTCTGCAAGTATTAATTAACCTTGGATGATTGGGAGGATTTTAATGCTATAGCTTCATATAGTGAACACAAAGGAACTGCTTTACCTTTTTGCATGGAGTTAATGAGTTTTCAGATTGCATTGCAGCTTGCAATCTGATTGATCTGCCATATTCTGAACCTAAATTCACCTGGATAGGAATCAGAACAAATGGGAGAGTGTGGAGAAGGTTAGATAGGGTGTTAATCGACGAAGAGTTCATGGACAAATTTGACACTATTCAGATTTCTGTATTGCAAAAAATCACCTTCTGATCATAGTCCTATGGTTCAAGGTTCTAATATGGATTGGCAGGACCAAGAAGTTTTAAATTCCAGAATATGTGGCTCAAGAGTGATTCCTTTATTCAAACAGTGGAACAAAGCTAGAATTCTGGTGGTA